CTAACACCAAACTGGTACAGAAATCAAAAAGCATTGACCCTCGCAGACACACTATAGCAAAAGCAACTCTTGATAGATCGGCTCAGCCCAAAGAAACTGCAGAAGAGAGAAGGTAAGTAGATGTCATTTTGGGGGCTTAGTTTTCAATAGAGTACCACTTGTGAATTTGGCTTATAATCTCCTTGAATATATTAGAACTTGTGTGGGTGTGGAATCTCCTCTGTCATAAACAGACCAGCTGAAGCAAATTTATGTGGTGGAACAGTGTGACCTAAGTTACTGTGCTTGAGTCTGTTTCATTAGATTGTTGTAATGTAATCTGAGTTACAAAGCTTAATACAGTTGGGAAATATTTTATAACCTCTCCATTTAAAAACACATTCTTGGGGTGTTTGAGCATGAAACGAACATTGATATGTTCAGTATTTCTTTTTGTTCGAACTTGTGAACTTACGTGTGGCCTACATGTGGAACTACTTAAAGACCTGAGTTATTTTTTAACTTCTCTGTCTGACAGAATTCTCTCATCAGTATCACAGTAATGCTTATGTCCTGCTTCTAACCTAGAGTTCGTCTGGGTGAGTGGAAAGCTGGTAAAAAAAAAGTGCTGAAAAGGCCTCCTAGCTCAGTGGTTACCCAGCCTGAGCCTGAAGGGCAAAACGAAAACTCAGTTGGGTCCTTTTGGATGACCATGGTAGAAGAAGATGAACAAAGATTATTTACTGAAAAAGTAAACAAGACATTTTCGGAATGCCTAAACCTGATTAATGAGGTACAGTCCTTATATTTGTGTAATAGTTTATAGTTTGCAAATTATCTTATAAAAGTTCTCTTACTAAATTACCTTGTCACTCTTTTGACCACGTAATGTGTTAGTGGTGTTATGTAGACGTAATGTTAGTTGTGAGATTCTCTTTAGCCTTTAATGGACCACATTTTCATTGAGGACATATACACATATCAAAGGGATAATTAGGTTTTTTAACTTGATTTTTTTTTTTTTTTACTTATAAATATTGTATTTCTCTAAGATGTTAATATAGAATGGGCTGGGGGTGGATATTCACTCTGATACTTCTATTTTTTACATTCCTTCAGGATATTTACATATTATTTACAAAATATTACATATTTTACCAAAGACTAGCAACATAAATTAGTGAGTCATTATCACAGATTAAATTCAAGTTAACTAAAATATTTGCAAACAAAATTCCATTAATCGAAACCAACATCATCATGGTCTTAAACTTACTGTAGAGTTTCACTATTTGGACCAAAATCCTACAGAGTATAATAACTCCAGAATGTTTCCTTTATTTCCTGGCTATTTTTTAATCTTGATTTGGTCACCCATGGTGTCTAAGATCCATAGCAAGAATGAATATATAGAGTATGATTTCAAACCTTACTCTGGTTTTCATGAGTGTCTTTAAGCTTTTTGAAGACCAGTGAAAATTAGGATTGGAGTTTCCCTATTATATTCTTATTTCTGCTCAGCTGGGGTTTGTCATTGATACTGTGGATGTTCTCTTCCCTACCCTCTAACTATATATAGCTCTTACTTAAATCAACCATTACAGATTCATTTTAACCTTAATATCAAGACCTGACAAAGACCGTTTTTAACACCTGCAAGCTATTCCCCCTCATAAACATTTGGTAGTTGCAAAAATTCTAAATCAAGTATTAAATGGAATCTCACAATATATAAAAGGATAATCATCAAGATCAAGTAAAGTGTTAGTCATTTTTTTTTTTAAAGATTTTATTTATTTGAGTGAGAGAGAGAGCATGAGCGGGGGTGGGGGTGGGGGGAAGGAGAGGGAGAGGAGAAGCAGACTCTCCGCTGAGCAGGGAACCTGACATGGGACTCAATCCCAGGACCCTGGGATCACGACCCAAGTCTAAGGCAGGCGCTTAACCGACTGAGCCACCCAGGCACCCCAGTGTTAGTCATTTTTGACTACTATTTTTCTCAACTAGTATTTCATTATTTTCATGCTTTGTACTCATGACTAATAGGCTTCTTGCTAGCCATTCAGAATAAGTTTGGAGTGAGGAAGAGAACACTGGATATTTTTATGAGTAATTTTCTACCAACTTTTTCTCTAGTTATCATTAATCTTGATTATAGTACAATTACTTAATTGTTCATAGTTTAGAGGCTAAAGGATATCACTCACTTTACTTCTTGCTATTTTAGGGGTGCCCAAAAGAAGAAATATTGGTCATACTGAATGACTTGATTAAAAATATTCCAGATGCCAAAAAACTTGTTAAATATTGGATATGCCTTGCACGTATTGAACCACTCACAAGTCCTATTGAAAATATTATCACAATCTATGAGAAAGCTATTCTGGCAGGGGCTCAGGTAAGATTAAAACTTACTGATCTTTACTAATACACTGTAAAGGAATTCAGAGTTATTTTGGAGTACATCAAACATAACTTGATAAAATTGCGGTTACATATGTAGTAGTAATGAATATTTAAAGGCCACAGTGATCACATTATAAAAGCTGTTTCTCAACCTTCTAAAACTTGCTTATGAACTAGTGACAATCACACCTTAGAAGATGGATATACACTGTAATGTACATTTAATGAAACTGGCCGTGAGAAATATTTTAGCACAACATGTCATTTTGCACGTTTCCTAGTTAAGAGATCTGGGAAATTGAATTTTTAATATTAAAATTTATTTAGCGAATATAAAGCCAAGTGGAATTAAACTAACTTTTAAAATGTTAGTAGGTTCTGTGGCTTTGTGAAAGAAGTCTTTCACTTGAAGAACACTTCTTAAATGTTCTCACATTTTTATGCCATATGTTTGGTCCTGCCCACACATAGAAAATGGCAGTAAACTAGTTTCTCTGACATATTAGCGCCATAGTGGTTTGATACCACACCTCTCCCCTCTTCCTAGTCTATTGCTGCAAGAGGCTCTGGGTATAGAATAAATTGTATTCTAGGTTTTTTGGTTTGGCCGGGTTTTTTGTTTTTATGGGCAAATGTTTCTAAAATGCATTTCCTTTTGACCAAGTTTCTCAAAAATGCATTTTGGAGATTATTTACAGAGAGAATTTTTAAAAATTCCTTTCTTTAGCCTTTCTTTAAGAAAGGTCTACTCACTTTAGTCTCAGCAAAGCCAATAGATGCTATTTGACCTTGCACTTGAATCCTAAATCAAATATTCAGCAGATACTCTCTCAAAGGCTATTATGTATAAAACATTTTGCTGAAGGGTAATTGTATTTGACAGAATCCCACCTGGAAGAGGGTGTGAGGTTCCTACTCCATGAACCAGAAGGGACATTACTTAAGGTGGCTTAAGGCAGAATACCTAGGATGCATAACCGAGCCAAGGACTCACATAGAAAGCAGGGTGTAAAGAGAGAGAGATGTGACACTGGAGCAGAAAGTGGAAAACAAGGATTAAAATTAGCCAAGAAAATTGAAAGCAGGATGAGTGAGTAGTTCAGGAATATGTTCTAGAACTAGGAATATGAGCCAGAACTTCCCTTTTATATAATATCTTGAATATGTTGCATTAGCAATCATAGTAGTACAAAGGAACAGAGTAAGTGCTTACATGTTCTGGCATATAATGGACAGTCAGTAAAACTGTTGAATTTGAATGAGTGAAATGTTAGGCTGGTCAACCTTGAGCTGTTCAAAGATGCATTTAATAGCATGTGAAAAAAATACATAACCATGGACTTGAAAGTAGGAGAAAAGGAGTAAACTTTATATTAAATTTACTTTAAATTTATATTATTAGCTCTTTAGTAGATATTAATGTTAGCTTGCTACTTGTTCATTAATTTTGTTTATATCAGACAAACAGTTAAGAGTTACCAGAGGCTTAAGAAAAATTGTGGAGAAAAATTTTAATCTGATAATTCTACCCCTTCTGTTCATTTTTATTCTATAAGTTGGAAAGAGTCATTTTCAAAAGTTCAAGTGTCAAAATAAGTATTCTGAGAAAAGAAACATGATCTAAGAACCACTGCCTTGTTTTAAAGTTTGAAGTATAGTCACTGTTTTAAATATTTTTGACTTGAACAACCTAGTTAATGTCTGAGAATATAAAACTTGTATTTTCTTCATTAAAAAAATTAAGCCTATTGAAGAGATGCGACATGCAATTGCAGATATTCTAACAATGAAGAGTCAAGAAAAAGTGAAATATGGTAAGTTTTTAATTTTCAAGTGAATTGTGATTTTATTAAATTTCCTTGAATTATTTTTCTTTTATCTTTTTAAACTTTTTAAATTTGTAGGATGTTTTTCTTCTCTTACGTCTGTGGGCATACCTCTGAGATTCAGTGGCCTTATGTAGTGTAAGAATTTTTAATTAGGATCTCTGGTTCAAAACCCAAATTTATCATTGAGTGTTTGTGAAAGTTAGCTTACCTCTCTAGGCCTTAATTCCCTGTGTTAAAAATGAGGCACTTTGATTAGATGATCTCTAAAATTTTATCTATTAAATTCTGTCATCTATTCTATGCTCTAGAGAAGCTCATTCAAGAATTCTGTTTGCTAGGGATAGTAGATAGAGGGAAGAGATTCATTAGCTGTCAGGTATATGAAATGTAAACATTTTCTAGGTTCAGATATATCCTATAACTGAAACATCTCTTGGTACAAATCTCTAATAATTGCCTAGTAGTCAAATCTAGAGGTCTTTTCACCTTGCTGGATTTATCAAGATGTCTCAAGTATTTCCCATCAAGCATGTTTTATTTTGAACTCGTCTTCCCTCATTGCTTCCCCAAACCATCATCTCTTCCTCCCAAAAAAGAAAAGGGAAAAAAGAAACTGCTCTGTCATTGAAGATGCCTAAGCAAGGAATGTTATAAGAGATGCCCTCAGTACACCTGCACACTCATTCAGATGTGCACATGCGTTTATTTGTTAAGCCCTAACTTAGAAATAACTTGTAAATCAGGCCCTTCCTTCTCACTGATGCCTACCTCTCTGCCACCTTGCTTAGAGACAATCACAGCCTTGTTTGTCTTCTGATCATCACAGATCATTCTTTTTTCTTGCCATTCTAAACCATCCTTCGTAGTGATCAAATCTGATTGTGTATCTGTTTCTCCAGTGAAGATTGGTTTTTTGGGTTTTTTTACCAAACTTCTTGCATGTAAAGTTCATTATAATCCAGCCCTTCCTACCTATCATCACCTCCTCCCCACATTCCCACCGTGCTCCTCACCCTATATTCTAAGCACACTGGCCCGTTAGTTTTGTCTTAATAGGTCATTTCCTTTTAAGCTTCATAACCAAGATGGTCTTCCTTGGTCTTGTCAAGTATTCGTTTCTCAAGACCCAGCCTAAATGTCATTTGTGAAGATTTCCCTAGCCCTCTCCCTGTCCCTCAAGCAAAGGTAGTTTTCCCATTTTATGGGTTCCCGTAACCCTTTTTTCTTATCTCAGCTATATAGAATTTTCTCATTTTAATTATTTTCAAGCACGTCTCTTCCATGGAATGTGAACTTAAAGGACAGGGATGGTTTCATTCTTATATCTGTATCTATAATCCCAACCCATAGATGATAGTGAATATTTGTTAATAGTCAGCGGTATTGGCTTAGGAAAAGTAATAGTTAGGAGATGGCAGTTTGGTTCTTCTATTTTGAAAATCTGACCAACTATGAATTACTTTAATGTCTTCTGATTTTGCTCTTCAACTTTGACCAAAAGCTTAATCTATAAATGTATTTCTATAGGAGAAAGTATTGAGGTTTGTGCAACTAAGGAATACATCCAAGAAGTCAACAGTGAAGATATAGGTGTTAATCTAGAGTCAGGAAGAGCAGAAATGGAAAAGAAACCTAGAAATGTGGTATTTCAAGATGGTGAAAAAGAAGAA